GGCCCTGTCTTCTCTTTACGAGTTAGCCGCGTATCTTTTACCCATTTTTTTTTTTGCATTCTTCATCACCTGTCGTGTATGCGCCCAGGGCTGTAGGTTTCATCGTGGTTCGTCTCATGTGTTTGGTTCATCTATCAAACTTTGGGTAATAATCATCGCCATGTTGTTTCCGTTTTCTTTCCTTTCGTCGGTATCTGTCGCGCTGGCAGTAACCACTATGAGTGGCTATGGCGGCTCTGATGTCCCGAGTTGCTTTGGGGCGTTAAACGGCATAAACTAACCAAACAAACTATCCATTAGGGACTGGGACTTCTAATGACTATCATCATTACTTCGCTGGAGGCGCGTCTCATCCACTACCTCTCACTCTAGCTAAACTTAACATACTGTCAGATTATATTCGGAAGGCGATAAATAATTACAGTGCTGCTCCTCGGAGTCATCGAAATGTAGCCTAGCCTATAACACATTCAATTAGGTAAATCTAGATGATGAGCGATTATTACGCGCGTAGTCGCGGAACAAGCCTAACAGCACAGGGGAGCTTGAAGAAATCTTAAAAGAAGCACCACCTTGGCACTGTCATGTCTCGACTTGCAGGCGCGTACTCCATCATGGCACCAACAAGGGCACCTTCCCGTGACCCGTACCAAGCTAAGCAACATCTCTCAAGTAAATACCATAAGGATGTGTGAGATGTCACGCATACCATAGATGGCGCAGCGTAGCACCCTCCCGTTCCAAGCAAAAGTAGTTATTTGCGGGTATCAATCTTGGCCCGCTGACAACGGTGCTAGACGTGGTCCAGAGGCCCGCGCATTGCGAAGATGTGCACCGCGTTTCGGTGCGGATAGCGTGTGTACAGGCCCTAATAGTTACCGAAGCGTGACCAGCACTGCACTCCTAGTAGTTACCAGCAAAGTGACCAGCACTGTACTCCTATACGGCACAGGTGTAAGACCGGGTTAAGGTCGGCGTAGTTCCTGCGCTGGCTCCACTTTTAGAGCAGTCCAATTAAAATTGAGTTTGCATTCCTATTATTCAGCAAGCTATATTGGCTAAACAGAAAAGGAGAACTCTAACGACAGTTACGTACTATAAGGACGTAATCGCAGCGCAAAGTTCACTTTGTTTCGATAACGCTGACATCAGTGCTCTAAGTGAGTATTGGCGCTACGTCGGATCATAAGTTACCCTTTTAACGCCAGTGCAGCGGGAAGCTCGCGATGAGCACAAAAATAAGCTTAGAAAAACAGATCGATTAACCTCGTAACGCTTGGCTCAAAGCCAATAAATGCCATGTGGACAGGCACTGGCGGGCTGCTTCGCATGAGACCTATTCCCATGATCACGGTGTTAGATGCTAATGTGCGTGGGATCTGCAGAATTTCTCGAGCCTAAAATTTCCCTCGGTTTATCGTGCGATTTCCCGTAAACCGCGGAATTTTAAGAGCTTGCTCGACAAGCTTCTTATGCTCGCGCCTTGTCCGGCGGCCACCGGCGTCTACACCGGTGTTGCCAGTGTACACTTCTCCGATCACCACTCAAGGTCACGTCTCCGGTGATTCCAACAGTGCTCACTAGGCGGCGCGCCGTCACGCAACGCCTATCGTGGCTAGAACGGGAGCATTGCGGACCAAGACGTACCGAGAAAAACACGAAGGCACAAACACGGTATGTAGTGCGTGTGGAGAGCAGGAGGAAACGATTGAACATTTGATAATGCTCTGTAAAGGATTCCACTCTATAGTCGAAGATAATGGCGCCAAATTTTTCAAAACATTGGGGTTTAGGAACAGTGAAGGCAAAATAGACTTTAAACGGGTAAAGATAACCCGGAGGAGACTAACTGATTGATGGCTACAATCGAGGTGCGAGTGGAATTCAATCCTTAAACACACAGTGATAGTACTTAACTTTATGGCTAGGTGGCGTGAGCCACCACCCGGTCTAAAGGGCACAGCCGGATACATCCATCCATCCTCTTGTCCAGTTGTCAGGTTGGAAGACAATCTGTTCTCACTGACGAACTGCATCGAAATAGCAGAAAAGGAACACAGGCCCCTGTGGCTAGCGTTTTTGGATATCAAGGGAGCGTACCATACCATGGTTCAAGAGGTTTTGTGGGGAATACTGGACACACAAGGTGTGGAGGATGGAATCACTAAGCTCTTAAATAATATCTATAAAATTAACAAGGTAGTTATAAAATGGGAAAAACAGGTATCCGAGCGCACGGAGATAAAACGGGGGCTTAGGCAGGGGTGTCCTCTGTCATCCTTGTTATTCATGATGTACCTACAAGGATTAGAGGCCAAATTAGAGGGGAGTGGACTTGGCTTTAACCTCTCTTTCGTCAAACAAGAAAAACTCATTGAGCAGGCACTACCAGCATTGAAGTACGCAGATGATATAGTGCTAATGGCCGACAACAAGGAAGATTTGTAGAAATCCATGGACATCTGCGGTAATGAGTGAGATAAGTTTGATTTGAGATTTAGTAAGAAAAAATCAGCAGTCGTGATTTTTAATGATAATGAAGTTAGTGAGCTTACGATACAGGAGCTCACGCTAGAGAACGAATAAATACGAATATCTGGCCGTATGGATAAGCAATGGGACCGAGTACCTAAGGGAACATGAATATACGTAACGACTAAAGGAAACAGGAATGCAGCGGTGATGAAAAGTATGGCACTGTGAAATCGCAATAGGTATGATGTGAGAGGAACTTGGAAGGGTGTCATGGTTCTTGGTCTAACTTTCGGCAATGCGGTTTTGCGCATGAGATCAGAGGTTCAAGCAAGATTAGAAATTAAGCAACGACGAATAGGTAGGCTTGCTTTAGGAGCTCATGGGAATACACCAAATCAGGGAGTACAAGGTGATATGGGATGAACATCGTTTGGGGGCAGGGAAGCTAGCAGCAAGATAAAAATTGAGAAGCGATTGAGAGAAATGGGGGAGTAGCATGGGGCTAGGAAAGTTTCAGCTACTTGTGCATGAAGAATGTCGATACAAAACCGAGGAAGCGAACCAGAAAATGAACGGGTAAATACTAAGAAAGAGCAGGGGGCCAAACCAAAAAGAATTATCGGTTAAGAAGAAGGTGAAGGAAACGGAGACCGATATGTGGAGAATTGGCGTGATTAAAAAGTCCGCACTAGAGACGTATCGAACTTTTAAGCAGGAAATTGCCAAGGAAAGGATCTATGATAAATTCATAATACTCGGGGTAGTTCTATACTGTTGGAGGCCAGCACGGGAGTATTGCGAACCAAGACTTGGGCCAAATACGAAGGGGTAGACACGGTATGCAGTGCGTGTGGAGAGGAAGAGGAAACTACCGAACACTTGATAATGTTCTGTAGAGGGCTTCACCTTATAGTTCAGATGGCGGAGTTTTTCAAAGCACTGGGGTTTAGGGACAGGGAGGGCAGAATAGACTAAAGGCGGGTAGAATTAACTAGAAAGAGGGTATCTGATTGGTGGCTACAATCACAACACGAGTGAAAATTAAATCCTTAACTTCAAAGTGTCAGTCCTTAACTTCACTACTTAGAGGGGTGAAAAAGAAATCTAGTTTTTGTTCACTAAGTATTACGGTTAGGTGGCGTTAGCCGCCACCCGATCAAAAGGATATAGCCATATCAATCCATCCATTGTCTGTTTTCGATGGCGCACGCAGTCGTCTCCTCGCGACTGTATAGTGCCTGGAATATTCTAGGCACTGTATCGCGACTACGTCCTTTAAGCTCTGATCGCCTCGTGGGCATGGCAGCACGTCACGTTCTTACGATGAGTGTTACGCACGGGTACCGATATCCCCTCAAGTCCCCTCACCTACCTACTCTCAACCCCACTGAAGAACGCCTGATAGCTTCACCCCTGCCATTTATGAGCGTAAGGCATTTGACTCATGGCAGCGGCCAGTATGGCACAAAGGGGCAGATGGTTAACGTGCCGATAGACGTGGGCAACATTGTGCAGGTCCGGCCGCGGAACGTGCCCGACAACGCTGCATGTAATCATTAAACACTTTCAACGCGTGCAACGCTGCGTAGTAGTCTGCTGGAGCGAACACGGCAAAATAATGGAACGGATGCTGTGACGTCACCACAACTTTTATCGGTAGCAACGGGGTGACGTGTGAGACGCAGGGGGGCGTCACCGTTGAGTCACTTTCGAGGTTGTCAATGCCGTGAGGAGCGGTGCATATCACTTGATCGCGCACGCAAACTTTTAAACTCTCATAATAAACCTTCCAAGCCATATTCACTGTTCATATTTTGCTGATACACTTATCTTCACCGAAGTCATTCCCACGCGCTATCTAGTCCGCGAAACTTTGTGTCAGTAGCCATAATCTTCGTCGCCACTGCCACACCAATACCAGGGCCACCACCGCGGCTGCGAATTGCTTCCTTCGGCGCCGCAGCCGCAGAACGATGGCCCTCGACCGCGACGAGCTGGCTAACCAGCTGTGGGCAGTCCGGCAAGCCGAACCATGACCTGTGGCACCGCCATCATCGACGGAGGTTGGCACCGCCTCGCGTAATAAAAAAAGTGGCGCACCAGCTTCAAACAAACTTCATTTATTCTCATCCGCCACGGCGCTTTAGTGGTGAAGGTGTTCGACTATACTGAACCGAATATCACCGTAACTAACCCCGGCCGCAGCTTGGGTGGAGACTGTAAATGCCTGAGGCCCGTGTACTCAGATGTATGCTCACGTGGAAGAACCCCCAGGTTGGTCGCAGGTTCCGGAGCCTTCCACTGCGGCATCTCACCACATCGGGAGTTTTTGGACGTTAAACACCAAAAAAATGATGGTTACTCCCATAAAAACAGATAAAAGGTCCAATTAAAATGTCACAATGTCATGTCACCAGAAAGCAGAATAGTATGACTGATGAAATAATAAGACGCGAAATAGTAAAAAAAAACTGCTGCCGGAGCTCTGGTCGCAGCGTTCCTTCTGAGGAACAGCTATAGCCATTAGCGCTGAGTGCGACAGTATATAGTTCACCCAGTACGTAGAATCAGGGCTTCCAGATGGTGACGTGAATGCTGAGGACCATCTGGTAGGCAAACCTCTGGGCGATGCAGTCATTGAAGACGAGACAGCCGTGGCTCATATCCGCCCCGTCGACGCAATCGCAGACGCTGCGGGTCGGGGCTTCCCAGGTGAGCGTTCGCGCGGGACTGGCCAACTTGAGGCGGTAGATGAAGTTGTCGGCCTGCCTGCGGGAGCCGACCAGCCGCACTTCGGCAAGGAACTGGTGGCGGCCGCGATTCTCTTCCTTTTTCAGCGCCACAAGAAAGTGGTGGCCCAAGCACGACTGTCGGGTTACCCAGAGGATGGGTGCAGGCCTTTCGATCCTCACCGCTCGGAAAACTATGGTCTCTCCTTTGAGGGTACCTATACCCCGGTGCGAGCGATTCAGGTGGGTCATTACATCTTTCAGGAGGCCGCGCCACGCACAATACCCTTCGGGACCTGCAGGGCACCGGCACGGCGTGTACTGGCAGTCGTCGTCGTGTCCGGGCTTCTCCGGGTAGGCCAGCAGCGCTGGACAGCCCTTGCCCGAATACTCGCACGGGAACAGCGCCATGCTGACCACATGCTCCAAGGCCAGGTTCCGGACGTTGCCGATGGGGCTTAAGCAGGCCACGCAGCGGTCGTGCTGCTCTCGGCACCGCGAGCACATCAGGTGGCCGTTCTCGCACTGCACGAAGGGCGGCAGAACGAAGTCGATGCAAACGAGGCACGTTAACAGATGAGCCACCGCCGATGCAGAAATGAACGTGGACGTAGGCAAAGCAAGAGCCCTTGACTCTGGGCTTTCCGCACCGCAAGCCTCTGGAGCGGGGTTGTCGCTGTCGGACATGCCGGCTCCTCCCTTGCTGCTGGCCGACGTCTAACCACTAGCTGGCCGCGGGACAGCCCCAGTTTCTCAGCAAGTGCTTCCGCTCGATCACAACGTCTTTCTTCGTCTTCTTTCATATCCCGGCATCTCAGTCATCAGCTTTTCGATCTGTCTGCTTGTCGCAATGCAGCTGCAGCGTCTAAAACTCAGCTGAGAAATAACAACGAACTTATACGATGACGTGAGTCATATGACGCCCTTCGTTCAACACTGAAGATTAGCTAGATACGGCTCTTGGATTCATCCACTTTTTTTTTCGTTCGTCTTGAATGCCACGCCCATTTCTTTGTGTTTTTTCTTCAATGCGTTAGCACTGTACCGATCGCAATTGCGACACCTGTTATCGCTCGGTAAAACGTGCGTACCTGAATCTACGAAAACGATGACGAATGTTTTAGACAAATGTAGCCGTCGCGATGCTACAGTGGTCGTGGTTCTCTGTTATTGACGCGAGGGTCGTGAGTTCGATCCCCACCACGGCTTTAACATTTCAAAATAGACAAAATGCAAGAGACCAGTGTACATAGAATCAGTAACATGTTAAAGATCCTCAGTTTGTCAGAATTTGCGGCGTGCTCTATTACAGCGTGCCTCATGATGATTTCGTAGTTTGGACGTGTAAGAAACACATTATTATTATTTAGTAGTAGTAGTAGTAGTAGTAGTAGTAGTAGTAGTAGTAGTAGTATCATAATATGATGACTTGCGATACGTGAAGAGTGGCGTATCTGTAGCACCCTTTCGTCTCGGCGTATATAGGGTGCTATCAGTCAGCTTTGCTCTATAAGGGCGACACTCGCTGGCGCTTCCGGAGAAGCTTAGGAGTGTGCGCGGCCTATCAGACATTCAGATCTGTGCACAGTGCTTCAAAAAAAAAAAAACGCCAGGCCTGCGCGAAAGGCGCAGCACAGTCACAGCGAAAGCTAGAAGAACGGCCTTTCAGAACTTTTTTTTCAAAACACTCGTCGGGTAACTGCTGCAAGCACACCTGCATGATTCCCACTACGGCATTAATAATCGAAATTTCAGGGTAGTAGGCCGGCATTCACTGTGCTATTTTTCGAAATTCTTCTTAGAAGCGTGGTATCAGTTAAACTATTGCGATGAATTTTGTGCCCATTGTTCATGCAGTGCATGGCTAACGATAATGAGAAATTATGCCTGAAGTGGGTATGCGCCACAGTTAATAGCTGAACAAAAACAAAAGCTTCTATAATGGGTTGGAGCATTGAACGATTCACTCCTTATACGCTACTGCATTGTGCGACGACTGCTTTTCTTTCGCTGTTTTAAAGCGCTTTATAAGTCGCATTAACGCGATTGCTTTCCCGACATCAATCCTGCCAAAGTCAAGTTTGCCAACAAGTCCCAAGCACCGGCGTGGCTCAGTGGTAGAATACTGGGCTGGCAGCCAGCGGACCCAGGTTCGAGCGCCACTGTGTCATTGGTACTAGGTTTTCTAGATTTCACTGTCTCTCTCTCTCTCTCTGCTCACGCCTACAGTGCGTAGTCCACTGACAACTCATCAAACGTTGTTCGCGACCATGGCGCAAGGTGCAGTAATTACCCGATATCACTCGCCGCGCGAGTGATCAGGGAATGTAATCTATAGCAGCGCTTGTCTACCGGCCATAACTCGTCATCTTGCTTGGCCATATAGATGACGCGAAAAGCGAACGTGCTTTCTTCACTTGTCGGTTGATGGTGCTGTAGGGAGCCGCCGCAGAGCGCAGGCCACGCGCTCGCGTGTTCCCTTTCATAAAGAACGACAGTGTACACTCAGGAAAGAATTCAAGCTCCACTGATTGTGCTAAGAGGTGCTGCCGACCCATGTACTAGATAAGAGGCGATTAGATTAGATCTTTCCATCCACCCGTCCATCTAACCGAAAGGCTAAACCAGACTTCACTACGCTTGGTTCCATCCACTGGTTTATTAGGGCCACGGTGCAAGAATATTCTTGCACCGTGATTAGGGCCTACCGTCCGTCGATCCGTATCTGCCAACGATGACTTCCGATTCTTACTGCCAAAACGCGGCGACTATAGGCGCGAAAGTTTCTTCTATATTTTCGTGGCACAAGTTCATTGGGATTTTGCTTTTATTTTTTTTTCTCACCCTAGCAGCTGCTCAATCTATACACCCGCGTCCTCAAATCTCGCTTCGCACGCATTCCGTGGCACAATTCCTACTCGGCGTGCCTTCACAACTACAACGTTCGCGACATAGGTAACTCGTGCTCCAGTGGCATTCAGTCAACTTGCGCGCGCTCACATACAATGGCGGCGCGGATCGTCTTTTTTGATTGGCCAAGCGTGTCGTCTCCGTCGGCGTCCCGCCATCTTTCGAATCTCCGCAGGTGCCCCGAAATGGGCTTTCATTCTCTGTTCATCCTTGTTTCTTCCGTTTCTGCGGTTCTGGTCCACTCTATGCGAAACCTCTGTCGCTCTCATGCTATATTTCTTCCGTGTATAAGAAACCCCTGCAAACGTGGTTGTATGCTCTCGCCACGCGCTACTTATTGTGTGGTTCATCAAGACGCTCATACTAAACCACGAACTCTCTTTCTTCAAGCCTTCCTTCCCCTCTTCAGTGTCCCGTCCTCCGAGTTCATTGTGTCGTTCCCGACATGCCTTCTTCGTCTGCGTGCAACTGGCTCGCTGACAAAATGACGTCGTTCTGCCGGGTCACGCGACGACATCACGTGAAAGGTGGTGACGCTCTTCTTTTGGGCTTTGTTAGTTCCTTCTATTTTTTTGTTTGTTTATTTATTTCTTTCTCCAGACCGGCCCTCTTTTGAATAAGCAGCCCTGCAGAATGTGGAGCGAATTTGTTGTTGTATGTCGTTCCTCGTGGCTGCATGATGGGGCGGTTTCTTTTCGTGCCGTTCGCGTGGCGGTGTCGCGAGGAAGGGTCGCTCTTCGAATCGCATTGCTGGCGCCGAAAGAACGCCGAATTCACCGATGATGCAACTTACCTCCTCCCTTTTCCCCGTTCACTTCTCTACCTCCCTCCCGTCACCGACTTTTTTTCTTTGCTCGAGAAGCGACCATTTCCTTGAAGTGCGTGTACGCTGCAAGCGTTATCTGCTGCCGCGGTCGTCTCCGTGATGAATGCGTAATCCACGTCATCCCGTATTTGAGCCAAAGGTATCAACAACGCACCGTCGCCAACAGTGACCGTGCTGCCGGGGCGGAAGTCGTAGAAGCTGCTACACATTTCGTACACCGAAAGGGTGATCGTTTCTCGCGCGTTTATTAGCATCAGTAGAGAGTTTTAGTACTGTGTACGCTGCGTACGTGGCGGCGTTGCGTACGTAAGGACGCCACGTTCTGCGTAGTGCGCACGCGCAGACCGTAACGCGCACGTATCGCGTTACGTACGCAGCCGCTACGTACGCACGCATGAGATGCGTGCCTGCGTGCGTATGAGGTGATCGCGCCGCTCTCGAACAAGTTCGCGACAGCGCGAGACTTCGTTTTGCAAAATGGCGGCATCGAAGGCAAGCACTGACCGGCTCTGCCGCTTAAAATATGGCCATAATCTGGCTATAACACTTGGATTGGCTCACATTGGCTGTCAACAACACGTGCTTCTATTTTGATCTACCAGATGACGCAACACGCTTCACGCTCGTTACGTACGCGGGTACTACGGCGTACTAAAAGCCGATTAGTGGCAAACGACGCCACGTAACGCAAGGCGCTTGCGTGATGCGTACGTAGCACCATTCCTCAGTACTAAAACTTTCTAGTATTGCCATCCAGTGTATGGGTACAGCAACCTCCACGCTGTAGAATGTGCAGCGTTAGTGTGCTGAGCGTAGTTGCGCGTTTCGTTTACCTACACTTGTTGATTTCTTATCGGAAGCACCCGCTACATTGCTGCGTCAATCATTCTTGCGAATGCAATGGAAGCTAAGCAACGCAATCTTTGCCACTATGCGCCGTCTGTCAACGTTGTGTTAAATGCAGTGTAGTGCCAGTTGCTCAGACGACAGATGACTCCCTATTTAGGATCATGCAGATACCGTGGATTATGCAGGTGTAATCACGCTCATGTTGACCAGAGGGCTAGCTGATGCGATTATCAAGGCAGTGTGACAACGCGAGGGCGCTTAACTAAAGGGGAATGGTGAAAGGTGTAGTATTGATTGATTTGTGGGGTTTAACTACCATAAGATTATGAGAGACGCCGTAATGGAGGGCTCCGGAAATTTCGACTACCTGGGGTTCTTTAACGTCCACCCAAATCTGAGCACACGGGCCTACGACATTTCCGCCTCCATCGGAAATACGGCCGCCGCAGCCGGGATTTGAACCCGCGACCAGCGGGTCAGCAGCCGAGTACCTTAGCCACTAGACCACTGCGGCGGGGTGTGAAAGGTGTAGTAGCTGTGCACAGAGGGTGGAACACATTGTAAAGCATTACTGTGATCAAAATGAGAATTTTGATACTTACGCAAAGTTCATTACAATAGCATATGCATGTCTAGAAGTTATTATTTTAGTGATTGAAGATGGGATGGTTTATAACTTGGTAAAGTCGTCCTCGCGCCTTTGTCCCGCTGATAACCGATGCATCTTAGCAAGACAGAGTAGACCGTTACACTTTACGCAAATTATGAATTACAGACAGTGTTGCGAATAGCGCGCGTTCAGATGAGGTTCTGAAAGCGATTCACCATGGAAAAGGTGCGATAACGGGAATAATAATAGTTGGGGTTATACGTGGCAGAAAACGCGGTATATGAGGGACGCTGTAGAGGGGACTCCGCGAATTTCGACCATTTTGTGTTATTTAACGAGCACCTAAATCTGAGCACACCAGCACTCAGCCTGCGTCCATACGCCGGTATACCGTGGCCGAGATTTAGCGGCCGCCGTCTACTGGTCAGCAGTCGATAGAAAAGGGTGAGGGAGGTAGATGGTAATTAAGACGAAAGCCTTAAATAAGAATTCCCCAGAGTGGGCTTGAGGCATATACACATAGGTCATCACCATCATCATGGTCGTCATCAGAATAGCGAACTAAAGCGAACACTCCAAATGTACTTTCTTTGGGGGCTTTGTCCCTAGGGTTCACTGACGGGAAAGTTAACGATGCCTTGCAGGAGTTTATTAA